TTTTTTTTTTTTTGGTACCGGGGATCGAACTCAGGTCCTTGTGCTTTTGAGGCAGGCAGCAGAACCACTGAGCTACATCCCCACTGTGGCAAAACCAACGTAAAGAAGAATGCGCATGGTGGGTTCTAGATAACAGCACTGTCATCGTCACTGCGAGGCACCATATGAGGCACAAAGGCCGCTGCCACGGTGACAGTGACAGACAAGGCCCCTGCTCCTTCGGTGTCTTTTCCAAGAGAAGGTAAAGAACAGCCCAGACACAGAGGACCAGGAGAGCTTGTGTCCCCGAGGTTGGGAATCCCTCTGAGATCAGGCGGTGGGGCTGAATGACAGACCCAGTCAGAGCCTTCAGATCCCTGAGACAGGACAGCAGTGCTCAGCTCCAGAAGGCCAGCGCGGCAGAGCAGTGAGCCAGGCACACGGTGGCTGAGCAGAGGCCTGCGCACGGGGCGGACCGTGCCCTGAGCCTCAGCCGCAGACCACTCTGTCCCTTCCACGGAAAGCGCGCTTTCTCTGCTTTGTTTTTTTTTTTTTCCTTTCAATGGGGAAGCGGCAGCCCCCACCCTACCCCACCCGGGCTTGGCTTTTCCTCTCTCCATGTCCCTGTCCCTGTCCCCCTAGTGTACTGTTTCTGTCATTTTTAATTTCCTTTCTCTGACGACACCTCTATTAAAAGTATAAAATAACACAAGATTACGAGCTCATAAAAAATCCAACATAGAAGTATAAACAGGTGAATGTAAAGGTCTCCCTCATCTCTGCCTTCCGCTCCTCTCTGTCCTGTCTCAGACACTAGCACCATTTTCAGTTTTCTGTGTACCAGGCTTGCCCTGGTCCCTGCTGGGAGCCCTCCTGTGTATGTGCTTGACTGGTCATTATCTTTGTCCAAGACAGAGTCTCCTGTGTAGTTCAGGCTGGCCTGGAAATCACTACACAGTCCATGCTTGAACTTGCTGCAATCCTCCTGCCTCAGCCTCTCAAGTGCTGGAACTGTAGGCATGTGCCACCAAGCCTGGCTAGGACACTGTCTCTCCCTCTCCCTCTGCCTCTCTTTATCTCTATCTCATTCTAATTCTGCCTCTTATCAAAATATATTTTTTGATAGCTAAAAATATGACAACTGGGTGTGGTGGCACATGCCTGTAATCCCAGCACTGGCAGCAGGATCGCTGTGAATTTGAGACCTGCCTGGGCAACACAGTGAGTTCCAGAGCAGTCTGAACTACACAGTGAGACCCTGTTTAAAAAAAAAAAAAAAAAAAAAAAAAAGGTGACTTTTAGCCAGGCATGGTGGCACACACCTGTAATCCCAGCGCTCAGGAGGCTGAGGCAGGAGGATCACTGTGAATTCAAGACCAGCCTGGGCTACAGAGTAAGTTCTAGGTTAGTGTCAACTACATAGAGAGACCCTGTCTCAAAAAAAAAAAAAAAAAACCAAAACGGTGACTTTCATATAAACAACAACAAAAAAAGCCATGCCTATTAATCATCAAGATGATTTCTCTGACACAATGAAAATCCGGCCATTATGTGCAGACGTTACTGGCAGAGCTGAGGAAAGAATACTGGGTCATTGACAGGACTTGCCCAGTCCTACAGAGCCGCACCTCTGTAACTTCCAGTTCTTTGGTGTCTGGGACAGAAATGCAGCTGTTAACCTGTAACTTCCGAATCCGTGCCCTAAGCAGCAGTAGGCAGCAGCGCTCACCCTGGGGGTGACGTTGGGGCCCATGCTGGGTCCGGAACTGACCCGACATGAAGCCTCCTTCTGTCTTTCTGTGAGTTCTCTGCACTGTCTGTGCATCCTTCCCCTCACCGTGTCTCTGGGTGTCCCGACGAGACAGAGGCCCCCAGTCGGCTTTCCCTGGGGTCGGCTAGGCTTGTCCTGAGCCAGCGAACCTGGCTGTCCCTGGCCGCTCTGCGGGTTCCTTGCAGCCTGGACGGGAAGAGGAGGGAGATCCTGAGTGCGTGGAGGACAGGTGCCAGGGCCTGCGGACGTGGCAGGGAGGAGGGCTGGGAGTCGCCTGGCTCCAGCTGCCCGGGGTGGAGATGATTTCACACTGCAGAAATGTCTGATTCAGGAGAAAAACCGACTCAGCTCGGGATGGGCCAGGATCCCGGGGCTGGGGGGTGGGGTGACTGGCCAGGGCCCCCTGGGTCTCCTCAGTGTTTGGGAAACTCGGAAGGAAGGAATTCTTCTCCCTTATTGCAAATGAAAGGGCAG